TTCATTGAAAATTATAAAAATATGCTTTCACCGACATAATTTAGATCACTAAATCTCAGAATATTTAATCTTATTCTCAGTGACACAGGTCGATAATAAACTCGAACCACGTAAAAAGTTGAAAATTATAAAGATACTTTCGCCGACGTAATTTTATATTAGATTACTTAATTTCACAGTATTTAATCCTGTTTCCTCCACATTATCAAATACAATTAAACTAAATAAGTAACTAAGTAAAATAATTGAATAAAAAGTTCATTGGAAATTATAAAAATATGCTTTCACCGACATAATTCAGATCACTAAATCTCAGAATATTTAATCTTATTCTCAGTGACACAGGTCAATAATAAACTCGAACCAAGTAAAAAATTGAAAATTATAAAGATACTTTCGCCGACGTAATTTTATATTAGATTACTTAATTTCACAGTGTTTAATCCTGTTTCCTAAGTAAAATAATTGAATAAAAAGTTCATTTAAAATAATTGAATAAAAAGTCCATTGGAGGAAATTATAAAAATATGCTTTCACCGACATAATAGATCACTAAATCTCAGAATATATTTAATCTCGATTCTCAGTGACAGAGGTCGATGATATAATCAGACTGACTAAAACATTCGTTGGAAATTATAAAAGTACTTCCGCTGGTGCGACCGGCGTAAATCTCTATCAGACTACTATAATTCCAGAATATACGTATTTAATCTTATCTCTTCCACGTTCAAGTAGAATCAAACTAAATGAAAATGTACACCTTCGCTGGTGTCACCGACGCATAATATTTGTATCAGTTAATTACTGAGCTTCTTCTCGTTCAACGTATCCAAATAAACGACAATCGAACAAACCGAAGAAAATTCCAAGAGAGTATTCACTCTTGCCTGAGACCATAAGACATCGTATAGTACTCTGCGCGCAAGTATCGCCTCCCCCGGAAGAAACGTGGAATCGTTGTTGCAGACTCGTTGGAGGCGCCTGGCACGAGCAAGCGCTTTCAAATCCTCTACAGAAACGAGGAGGTGACACTCGGCACCTCGGTCCTATTCCGAGCCCACGTGCTCGTGCACAGCCACAAGATCGAGGAGGTTCTCTCCCGTACCCACTTCAATCTCGGCGTCGAGCTATGGTTCAGCGAGCCGACGCAGCCGGGGAACATGGCCTGCGTGTCGTCTAGGTGAGATAAACGTCCTTCACTCCGTGTGTGTGTGTGTGTGTGTGTCCTTTCCTCTTAGCCCTTGGGAACAACGGAGTGCTGCTCGCGAGACCGCGACGATCGGGAAAACGATATTGCCGTTTCTCAGATTGCTGCACGCGCGCGAGAGAAGAATCGTGAGAAAGCTGGTAATGAAGACGAGATGGTCTTGACGCTCGAATAACGTCACGAGCGATCGCGACGATTACATACTTGCATTCTGTGAGTATGACTTGTACTTGCAGGACAACGTTCTTGGATTTTCTTCGATTCGATCGCTCGAATAACGATATTAAAAGGAATGTATCCTAGGCGTTCGGTTCGCTTGACTTTTTTTTTTTTTTTTTACAGTTTTCGTACGGTGGACCTTGGTTTATTAATAATTCGTGAAAAAAATTAATAATGAAATTGATTAATTATGAATCAATTATGGAAGAATTAATAATAATCTTTTCTCTTTTATTGGTAAGGTGATAGTTTCAAGTAATATGAAATTGCAGGTGAAATTTAATCGTTATTAGGAAGTGATTGTGTCATGTTCACATTGTTAACTTTAGTCTAATAACGTTAGAAATTGGCCTACATCGAAAGTGATGTTAGAATACTTTTCTCTTGCATATTATTGAATTCTTCTTGATGATTTCGCATCAAAATTATGCAAATACTTGATATATGTATATATATTTTTTTGTATGTGTGTGTGTGTGTGATATCTACTCTGCAGAATATTAGAAATATGTACG